TCCTAACCAAATGCTGCTTCTTCCACGCAGTCTTTCTGTATTCCTCACAGCTGAAAGTGATTTTTGCCTTATTTGGGTGGCAATAAGAATGTTCAGCTTTGAACTCCAAGACCAATATTACCACCACGACCCCTTTGCCACCTAAGGCCCCCAGCTGCATACAGCTAAACACTAGCTTGGGAGGCGGGCAGACACTGCTGGGCCTTGTCATGTTCCTCTCTAGTTTCCACCTCCACATTGCTAACCATGCCACGTCCTAACCAAATGCTGCTTCTTCCACGCAGTCTTTCTGTATTCCTCACAGCTGAAAGTGATCTTTGCCTTATTTGGGTGGCAATAAGAATGTTCAGCTTTGAACTCCAAGACCAATATTACCACCACGACCCCTTTGCCACCTAAGACCCCCAGCTGCATACAGCTAAACACTAGCTTGGGAGGCGGGCAGACACTGCTGGGCCTTGTCATGTTCCTCTCTAGTTTCCACCTCCACATTGCTAGCCATGCCATGGGGCCCAAAATATGTTTGATGACTGAATTGCAGAGTTTGCTTTTGGTGTCTGATCTGAGTTCAAATCTCAACCCTGCCATGGACTAGCTGTGTGTGTTTAATTCTCTGAGCCTTAGTTTCCACATATTAAGTAGCACGTTCCTTACAGGGCTTTTGGGAGGAATAAGTGAGATAATGTGTTTAATGCACTTAGCCTAGAGCCTGGTACATATCAAGTGCTCAATAATGGCTTACTTGTGTTTAATTCTCTGAGCCTTAGTTTCCACATATTAAGTAGCACGTTCCTTACAGGGCTTTGGGGAGGAATAAGTGAGATAATGTGTTTAATGCACTTAGCCTAGAGCCTGGTACATATCAAGTGCTCAATAATGGCTTACTGTGATTAATAATGAATGAAGTGCCAGATTACTCTCACGTTTCCAAGAGAGCATCTGGGCTTGGAGGCAGCTCAGTTCCAGTAAAGCTGGCAACTCTGCCAACCTAGGGCAGTTTGAATCTTAAAGCCGAGGGAGGTCTGAGGACAGCTGCTTGCTGTTGTGCAAGGCTGTGGGGCTGCCCTTAGAATAGGCTCCCCTGCCCCCCACCATGGTGTTGAGCCAGTGTCTATGTCACCCTTTGCTAGGAGCCTGGACAGCTGAGCTCTTGAACCGCTGTGCCTGGCCCACCCGTGCCCCAGCAGGGTGAGAACAGATTGTGCCCGCCAGCTCGGCCGTGGCAGCCAGACCACAACTCACCTTGACAGCTGGGCAGGCCCCGAGCCAGAGCTGCTTCTCATCCTGTCCTCCCCTGTCCCCAAGGCTAGCACCACACGGTGTAAGGGGGAGGGCATGGCACTTGAGAGGGGGTGGGCCCAGGTTGACCACATGTTGGCTGTGTGACCTTGGGCAAATCCTTCCCCTCTCTGGTCTCACTTGCCTTGTCTGCACTCTGGGGGATTGAGCTAGAGCTATTATTCCCCGAGCTGGCCACCTGCCAGAGCTGTCCTTAGGGGTAAAGGAGAGACTAGATGTGAAAGTGCTTTGGAACTTGTGGTGCACAGGACAGAGCAGTGGCGACATCTCACCGGAGCAAGTGGGCCTGGGGGTGGGGTGATCTCTGTGGGTTCAGGCAGCCACATCCCACCATCAGGGGGAGGGACCCCCTCTCCACCACCACCTCCTGGCCCTGTGTTCATTCATAGGCTGCAACTTCTCCAGGTCTACCATCTCTTAGGAGAACCAAGCGCCCACCTGCCTGGTCACCTCACTGCCCACTGTGGGCTGCCCACAAAGCCCCCAGCTTCAGGGAGCAACATACAAGGGTACTTCAAAAAGTTCATGGAAAAATAGGATTGAAAGATAATCAGAATCTTCCCACAAACTTTTCGAAGTACCCTCGTATTGGTGTCTGCGGCCCTCCCCTGTCAGATTCCAGCCCACCTTCCCGGCCTTCTCTTACTGTACCCCACAGTTGTCCTCACCCCACACCCCAGGTGACCTGGCCACCTCTCCCCACAGTGCTACCCCCTACTGCCCTCATCCAGCCTCTCCTGCCCTGAGCCCCAGTGCTCTCAGACCCCTGCTGCAGCAGCCACAGCCCCTTCCCTGGCCCTCCTCCTGTTAACTTCATGACTTTCAAAGCAAGTGACTCATCCAGGCCTCCACAAAGGCTCTTCTCAGGGACAGAAACCTCATGCTCCACCATGGCCACTGCCCTGTCCAGGGCAGCCCCGGCCCCCACATGCCTCACCCTTGGAGTCGGATGCCCCCCAGGGCTCGCACTCATCTCTTACTGCAGGCTGAGGCATGAAATAATAAGCTCCTACCCTTCAGACATGTTTTTAACTTAATTCTCAAAAACTTCCTATGACTATCTCCATTTTACAACTGGGGTCTGGAGAGGGCTTGTGACTTGAACAAAATCACTAGGCCTTTCTGACTCAGTGTTCATTCTGGTGCATCGGAGCCTGTATCACCCCAGGAAGGGTGACCAGGATGGGAAACTGAGGACCTGAGAGGACAGCATTCCACTTGGAGCCTGAGCCTCAGGCACCACCCTGAGTCGGACCTGGCAGAAGTGGTAACAGGAGAGTGATGCCCAGGGACGCAGACACTTCTCCAAGTTCAGGCCCAGGGTCAGCGTGCCTGCATTGCTTCTCCTGTCCTGTTGTCGCTGGGTGAAAGGACAAGGGAGCTGTGAGGACCTGCTGACGTGAGTGCTCAGCTTGGAGGGGTGCCAGTCAGGGTGGAGCCACTCCCAGGGGACTCTGGGGCTTCTGGGAAGCAGTGGGAGTTTGGCAAGATTCGTCTGCTTGCCAGCAGGCCTGCTGCCTGCCTGGTCCCTGCCCACATCAGGCTTGGCTTTACAAGGAAAGGGGCAGAAGGTGTATCCATCTTCTTTTCCCCGTCCTGCCCTGCGAGTCTCCGAGTAAGGGGCTCCACCCACACACTCAGAGGCTGCTCTCTGAGGACCCACTCTCACAGTACCTGCTGGACCGATCAACCGGAACTCATGCCCTGATCGTGAGACCCAAGCTGGTGCCCCTCAGAGCACTGACCAAGGCCATCTCTGCCTCCTCCTCTTCCAGTCTCCTGTCCCTGAATCCACCATAGACTTGAAGGTTTTCAGAGCTAGAAAGGCCCTTAGCGATCATTTAGTCCAGTGCTTATATTGTATAGATGAGGCAATGGAGGCCCAGAGAGGAAAGCAACCTGCTCAAGGCCACACAGCTGGTGAATGGCAGACCAGGACTATAACCCAAGGTCCTTGGTTCTAAAACCAATGCTCTGTCCACTGCCCTCTGGCTCAGGTATGACCAGAGCTGTAC